TAAAGCCTCAAAAAATACAAACAATACAGGTACGTATATCTACTCAGGTGTTTGCAAACGGAACTTGATAGACGTATTTTCATTAGTTTACCGCTGCATAGAACAAGGTAACAATGATCGATTCGTCTATCTAAAGCATTGTTCGATTCCATTGCCGCTTAAAGGCTGGTGCTCGGCGGCAAGCACACCTCTGATAACTGTTCTTACCTACATGATTTTGTCATCGCGAAGCTTGCGACACCAATGAGATGGACAGAATGCGCTTCAGCGCATAAACAGAGCCTCTCGAGATCCGCTTTTGGCCACGCTGATTTCTGAGACTACGCATAAACTCTGATTTTAGGATAAAGTTAGCCCTCGAGGAAGGTTTATTGCGGTCACCTACCTAATGAAACTGAGAAGGGTGGAAAGCATTGCCCATTCAAGCTGTGAAGGATGGAACAATTTCGGACTAGTCAAGTTCATGTGATTCTTACATTTTGTCTGTGCTCCTTTCAACGCTGATAGAAGAGAGTGATAGCACCATGGAAAGCTTCGAATGAGGTCTTAAAGGTGAAGTGAAAAAGGGTCAAGGCAGATGTGGCACCCGCGATTCCTAGCCGGCAATATATAGTCGCTTAGGAGCCTCGCACAATGCACTGAAATGCTGGAGAGGTAGCTTGCCACAGAAACTACTTCGGTTCGAGTCACAGTACAGATTACATTCCTGCTTCAGTGTTTAAACATTGCCCAAGAAGTAACACGAATTATCAAGGCAAATAAAAGAAATTTGGCCTCGACCAAAAATACAAGGCGCCTTGATAAGGAGTTTAACAGAAGTGAACTGTGACATCCGATATTTCTTTGTTGATATGGCGCTGCACGCCCGCGTGTTTTTAGATGAAATTCGAGAACTCTAGCTCAAAACGTAACCGCGCCAAGAAGGCTTGCGCACAAATTCCATTGTTCTTCAAAGCAAAAAAAAAAACATAACACCCAGCCCCCTGCAGAAGAAATACAGCCAACGAGTGTGTGCACACACATCTCATATCCGTGACGACTTCACAAGTACGTTTCTGAATTTGCTCAATGTGTGCGTCTGAGCCTTGTATTCACTAAAAATCCCAAAGAACATACTGCTTTCTTTTTTGTTTTGAATGCTCTGTCATGGGTTAAAATATTATACGTTCCTGGTCAAACTTATTCTTGTATTTTTTTTCATATCACGTCTTAATTTTCAAGGCACAGCAATGCACACCCTTGTGTTCATATTAGGAAACGAAAGAAAAGAAGATCAATTCAAAGCAATAAATAAACAAGAAGAAAACCATGTGTATACCCAGCGAGAACGCGGGTCTCTAGCGTATAAAAACGAAATTCGGCCACTCTTCCTGCTAACACTTAAATTGGTACTCTATATTGGCAAGTAAGTTCTACTCCCTCCAGCACAAGAAAGCCTTCAAATGAGGGAGCTAGCTGTTAGCTAGCGCTGAAAACAGATCGGCAAATGTCCAAACGTGAATTCTGTAAATGAGGTGTGCTGAATAGAGAACTCTGCGTGCTGCTCGCTGTCCTCTGAGAAACCCTCACATATACACACTACGAGAATCTGCCGAATCAATCGTGGCCCGTCCGTCATTGAACAAGCGAGTGTCGAGTGGTAGGATGTGTTCTATGCTAATGATAAGATTGGCGATCAGATAAGTTCAATTAACAGGGCGCGCAGAGGGGCAGTTTCATGTAGCGTTTGGACTAATAACAGCCATCCTGCTAGATGGGGCTTGGCGGCCTAGCTGAGCCAATTGACACAATCCCTTTTCCGTTAATAAAGGCTCTCTTTCTTTCCCTCTTTCTCTTATAAATGACGACGTAATGCAGGCCACCAATCACACCACCCCAAATGTCTATACCCTGTCTTGGCTTCCCTTTCGGTGCGCTGGTTGTGCGGGCGTTTGTAGCTTAGAATATATGGAACTCCAGCCACAGTGTCTATGTGAGCGCCAATGAATGGCGCTTCAGCCAGCGTGGGAATTAATGGGGATTACCCGGATTTGTCTACGCTTTGTTTATTCGGCTAGAATAAGGCTCGATTGTGTTGCCTGGGGTCGCTTTCTGCAAATACCAAGTCTAACGAATGTTAAGCAATTTTCCTTTCCGAATTCAGCTCTTTTAGACTCACCAGTTCAAATCAGCTCAGTAAGTTCATAAAGGTCCTGATTCATTCTTTTATTTGAAACTAAATCAAAACGCAACATTACATAAAGCCACAAGTGCTTTAGAAGACCGCAAGCGCTAAGGCAAAGCATGGCAGTACACTTCTCAATATTACCATGCCGACTGAAGGATCCCAACAAATTATGTCTGCTACAGACTGTAGGAAACTGTACGGTTCCAGGCACTTTTGCTGGTTTTCTACACTATGTAGCGGTACTTGATGGGAATGTTTGGGGCGTCGACGTAGTCAAGGGCATAACGGCGTCATGACTAGCCTGCTCTTTGAATAACTGATTTCGGTTCACCGGAAATCGACATGGCCATTGGATATGCACACCAAGAATACCTCCCCTGATAATCACACCTAATCGTGGTCGCAGCTGAAAAATGTACCGATACGCGCTGTGCACTCTGTTGTCCGAGACAACCGGGAAGAAGGCGGGGAGGGAAGCTGGAGAGGCTCACTTTGTAGATAGGAGCGGGTCGAAGGTTCAAGCTTTGATCAGTGCTGGATAAAGCAGCATTGTTGCGTCAACAGATGCCGACGCTGGCGAGACAGCCAATCAGATAACGAAGTCTGTCAAAGCCATCCTACGGTAGGATATCCTGCACAAAGCCGCTATAAGTGAAAGAAGCCTCATATCCTGCAAAGTTGGCTGTCTAGCACTCGAGAAGCGGTGGGTGGGCGAACATTCATTTCGGCCTTTACGAGTTTTGTGGGCTTTTCTTTTTTGTTATCTCTAAAGCCATTATTCTAGTATGAACAATTTTTTCCTAAGGTATTTGCGATGGTTTAAAATTTATAGTCAACATGTAAGTGTGCCATTCTCTATCTGAAATTGAGCTAAATAAAATTCTCGGTAAATTACCATTTGCTTATAAGAAAAAAAAAAGCTGCACGTGAATACGTACAATATTGTGGGTACTATGCAATGAGTAAAACTATTTTAGATGTACTTAGCCTTTTTGTTCGTTTTTTCAACGTTGGACCAACTTAGCTGTGACCCGCGCCTATAGTTATAGTACATATATATGCAGTTGCTTTTCCCTAACGCGGTCGTGAGAAATTTAGCAGAGGCTACGCAACGTTAGTCGGAGGCTTAGAGACAAACCTTCACCTCTTTTTTTTAATGCAAAATGCAACTCGACCCATTGCCTGTACATAACACCCTCCTTCTAGGTTAAACATAGAGAGACGGCTGCTTTTAAATTTGAAGCAGTGACGTAAGTGACGTAGCCTTGTCTTTTGCAATTACAGGTACAAATGACTGCTCTACACCCTGCCCTGAAGGACAGAAATTTTCCTGCTTCGAATTGGAAGGAACTTGCTCTTGTACATGTGGTAAGCAGAGACCTTTAGCTAAATCGTTTCCAAAAAACTTGTATATTGTATTGTTATCCTTTGCATTATACAGAATACAGTTTATTTGAGCAGGAACCCCTGCCGGTGTACGCAGCTGCTATTTGTCTTATTCGTGGACGCATATTCAAGTAACGTTGGTAAAAACATGTCATTCACAAGGAAGTACGCGTGTCAAGCTTTTATGCTCAACAAATATACAATGCATATGTGTATTTGAATTCTTAGTTTGAGGTTTGTATGCCCATTGATTATTCTTCTTGATCAGCTAAACATAACTTTTTCGTGATGAATCGTGCCGAGAAAATAGACCCACACAGTACTTCAGTGTCTAATGAAAACATCCCCGTTAAAAGATTGTGAAGTACTACAGATTAAGGGCCCTAACATTGTTGCCATCACTGATGCACATCAGACACAGCTTAATTAAGCAATCATGGTGTATGCGGGAAGAGTGGCAAGGAGATGGGATAGAGCACTACACCTTTTCCCATAAAGACTTTCAACGTGAACTTCTGAGGCCTGAAACCAATAAAACCCGAAATAACGTTTACGTATGCGTTCAGTTATAACGCTGTATAGATGAAATAATGATAATAAAATTTTTTCCAACACAAGAAAACAATTGCTCACGTTGTATACATGGCGTTCAATGGGAATGGCGTATTTAATTAGGTGTACCAACGGGACATAAAAAATTTAATATAAATGACCATAAGAAGTGGTTAAAGTCGCTATCACTTGCTTGAATTTGAGAGCACATTCATAATGTGTGGAATTAATTACAGAGCTGTTATTTTTTGCAGTTCCAGCAGCTTGTATGTTCTAAAAGCTGATTTTCTGATTATCAATATAGCTAAGTTACGTAAGTGGATTGTCACGTTCTAGTTTTCTGCCAAAAGACCACAAAATAATAATGATCAGTACTGCATTGCCATGTACAATGTCAAATTTTATGAACGAGAACACGTGAACGCGTGGCCCACGCACTCCAGCGGCTGCTTGTAGCGCGTTCAAGTGGGAGCAATAACAACCACATCCTTTATACCCGTCATCTAGTGGCAAGCAAAGCAACTGGTCATTGGTGATACAAAACCAGTGGCCAGATAGCAACCACCTCACCTTCAAGGTGAATAGGCAAGAGGCCGGGCGTGATCGCTTTGAAGGGGGAGGAGGTTGCAATCTTGCCGCTGGTCCCATATCGCCAATGACCAGTTGTTTCTCTCGCCACTAGATGACGGGAATAGAGTCTGTGGTTGCTATCCTTCCCACTTGAATGCGCTAGAAGCTAAAATCGACACTGTACGTCTATAGGCGGCATGACAAGTGTATACCAGATAGCTTTACTTCGAGTTGTCGTTTCTTTAAGAAGTCACACTTACAGCTTCAGCCTTTGATAAAATACCACTTATTGATTTTGTATTCACTCAATTTCGCACAGCGAAAAACTTCCAACCCCTGCGATGATCTCCGAGCCAACGAATGTCCAGAAGGCTATTTCCGTAGATGCCGCAGTGACATCAACGGTTGTAGTTGCCGGTGCGGTAAGTTTCCCTGCATGTGACTGATAATAATTTCATATTGAGCCATGCGCTGCTGCAAGGTTAGCCACAAATTTCATAATTATTTCGCCAGCTGTGCTTGCACTACTTGATACATGTCCAGTTTAGTTAAGTGTCACTTTTTGCACTGCTTTTATTGAGCATATAAGACAAATACAAGAACACCAAACTTCTAACAACAAACAAAAGTGATTAAGAAAGAGAACTGAATTCTTAAGATAAGGGCCCGTACGCAGGAGATGAGTGTGATATTATTAGGTGCAAGTAGACTGGTGAAGTTGCTTGATGTAACGCACATAAGCTCGGTGTGTCTGTGATAGACTAACTTTCGGGCCATTTAGGTTACCCCAGAAATGTAAAAAAAAGTTCTGTCTAACCCTTATTAGAAAAGTAGACAGCTGTTCCTTTTAGGAAGCATTAAATTCGGAACGCTAGCGCGAGTTCGCCTAAACTATTATCCGGAGCAGTGGCCGAGGCACTATAGCGTATTCTGCAGAGCTCCCTAAATATCAATGACCACACCGTTCACGCGGCTGAAATTAGCGCTCTTCCAGCAAACTGAATGCCCTTAGCTCGAGAGTCAACATTTCCTGTCAAGGTCATGGTACTTTTTCAGCAATGCAGAACATTTATATTGCAACATAAGCGCACAACGAACATGATTGGAATGATCGAACTGGGTGGATTCTAGACGCGAGTCAATTGGTATCCTCAGCCCAAGAAAGAAAAATAAATCACGCAAAAGCAGACAAAATGCAGCACTGGATAAACAAATGGTTTTCCTGTGGCAACTTATCCTAATAAACTTGGGCGGTATCAACAATGGGTATTTATAGCGGCATGCGAATAAGATCGGAGCAATGAAGCACTGCACGCAGATACATGAAGAAAGATGGGACGAAAAAGCAGAACAATAGGCCATCCGTAAAAAATAAAAGACTTGCTATGGAAAACTGCACCTATGAACTGCAAACAACAGGTCCTGCTGCAGATATTGTTCTTATTAGAGGATTCAAACAATTCCGGAGTATGTACATGTATTCACAGAATAATGCAGAATGCCCGAGAGGAAGCAGCCCACCCGAAGGAGTTCGCCGGCGCAACATACACAGTTCTCGCTAACCCAGTCTTCTTTGCAATTAAGCATTGTTTTCTCGTGTTTTTGTCATACAGAAAATAAATGAGTTTGAAGGAAGCAGTATTTTATGTCAACAATATTTTATGGCAGTGACGAATTGTTATTTTTCAAGAAGGAGTTCTGAACAATACCTCGTTTTAAAATAGCTCTAGAAAGTGTATCCCATGCTCGGGATAAATAGACGGATGAAAAGATGGACAGCAGCGTGGATACTATTGCGCCTTGTCTCGTGGGGGGTGATGACGACTGCGCAACTAGCCTTGAAAAAAAAAGGTGTTTTCTGTCTTTAAATTTCTAAATATGGTTTAGTGCCTCGGTTACTTAGCTCAATGAAATGCATCCTATTATAAAAAAAACATATGCAATTTCGCACACAAGCTCTCTGCCCTTTAAGATAGAATGTCGTTTTTCCTCTCTTTCTTTTTTAGCTTTCTTTGTTAGTTTTCGTTATTATAATTCCAACGGCGTATTCTTGTTATAGCGGGCGTGTTAAGCTTTTTTTATTGTTGTTAACAAGCTTATGTTCTGCACCACTACGCAACTTTAGAGACAAGAACCATTTTGAAATTGTTAAAATAGAGTAGAACTTCATGAGGGCTGTTTCAACTTTTTGATTAAGAAACAATAAACCTCTCGCGTACAGATATCAGACTGCAAGTACAAGACTACAAATTCCATTACGCTAGCGTTATTTAAATATTTAGAGCAATAGTTTTATGATGGTGGATAACAGCTAGCACATTTGAACTTGTTTTAAGGTTGTCAGAACCTATTTAGGTTTTATTACAAAAATATGTATAATGTTGTTGCTTTATATTTCAGATGTTTAGCAGCAACCAATGCCCAGGCAAGCTGTGATCATATTCACTATATCATTTTAGTTCAATAGGAAAATTGCTTCGACCGGCTCATATTAGCGGCGGCTTCACTTAACTCTCTTCAACTGGTGTGATAGGGGATGACTTTTTAAAAAAGTTTACTTACAGTCTTTAATAAAGAAGCTGAGCTTTTTTTCAGATGTGTTGACTTTCTGTGACTGATGCGTAGATAATACTTATATCATGTACCTCAAAATCAGTTTGATAGAGATTATTTATACAAAACACATCAAACACAGTTACACATTTTTAACGGTAACTTCATTTAGCCTGGCTGCCATAACTCGACGACAATTTCGTACACGTTCAAACACGAAGACACCTTCTTGTACATAAAGAACAGACCTTCTAGCTTTAAATGCCTGAGGAAAAGTGTGCAAATAATAAAGAGTCTTTTCAAATGAAGAAGTCTAATATCAGCGTCATGCTGTGCAGACACGAAGGCCGCAGCAAATGTGCAAATGTTGAGATTTCATTAGCTCTGATTAGAATAGCCCTAATAAAAAGCACTATTGATGGTCATGTTGGAAACTACCACTCCGTAATATAGTAGATTAATGTGGGTGGACGAAGGATGAATAGTAAATGGTGGCTGGAAAGTGAATAATGACTGAATAGTGGCTTGATAGTGGATGATAGGTGGACAGTGGACAGTAGTATAAGCGATATAATGATGGCCGGCAACCTAGGTGGGCGAAAAGACTACCATGTACAAGGTATGTGGCAGCTACAAAGAAGCCGAGTGTGTTTGTCAATTAATTCCTTTTCTTTCAAACTCTTTTCTACTGCGACTGAAAATGCATCTTTCTCCTACAGAAACCGCACAAGTTAAGCACCAAAAAAAATCATTGACTTGTGCTGTTAAGCCGAACAGACAATATAATACCATTATCGCATTAAGCAACAAAGGGCCTCACTCAGTGTGAACTTTAACGTTTGTACATTTCTTGTTGTTGTGCTTACTCGTTTGTCTACAAAAACAGCTTCTGAAAAAAAAAAACACCTTAGTAGCAAACCTGACCAACTGCATCACGGCGTCCCCGCGGTGACACTAACTGAAGTTAATAACTGAAGCTCAAAAAGATTTAAAAGACATCAAAACAACATAAATGCTTTTTTAGGTAGTCAAAATGTGGACTTGGTGGCGTAAGCACGATGCTTCTTTTGCACAAGAAAACACGTATAGGGAGTCTCTGTTATAAATATGGAATGTTGTTGGGCTAGTTGGTTCATCAATACAACACTTTTCATCCGGGTGAAGGAAACACGCTAGAGCAAAGAAATAAACATACAAATGATATGCACGGTGCGCTTTACACGATTTTTTGTGTGGTTCTGTGCTTTAACGTGTTGGGTGCACATAGTTTAGTCAGAGTATTCCGGCTTTTACGTTCAAAACCAGCATATGGTTGTAAGAGACGTTGTAGTGAAGGGCTTCGGGAATTCCGACTATCTGTTCTTCTGAAACGTTCACTGGAATCACACAGTACACGGGAATCTACCATTTCACCTCTATTGAAATGCTACCGTCTCGGCGATGACCGAACCCGTGACCTTTGGATTAGTAGCCGAGCACCTTAGTCCTGTGGTGTAACACAGCAGGAGGGGGGCTAAGGGGCTTCAGCCCTTTTAAAAAAATTTTGGTGCTTTCATACACCACCGAACAGGAGCCTCAACACGAGGGAGCAACTTATTTGACTTCAGCTTCTCCCCCTGTCTTAGAACTTTCTTTTTTGCGCTAATACACCGCCATCCGAAATAACCAAAATCATCAAGAACCACCCAGGATTACGCCTAAAACGTAGTTTTTCGAGCCCGACAAGCCAATGGACAGTCGGAAAGTTTTGGAAGGTGGCTTTTGTGCAAGGTTTGTTTCAAGCCTGGAGTTTGTGAATCACTGTATTTGTCATAAAATGCCACTTATTTGAACCACCCTCTTGTTGAATATACCGCGCCTGTTCCCAACGCTGACAAGCGAATCGACTTGGGCACTAAAAGACTCATTTTTAGAACACTGGAAAGCAGTGAAAGGGAGTGTTAGTAGAATGTTGCTGTTCAGGTAAATTCATTGTTTTGCACTGTGACCACGACAGCTTTTGTTGAAAGACTGTGATGAAAATTTTAAGTGCAAAACACTCGGCAGAGAACCGCGGCGATATACTGCTTTCATGGATGGAGCAGCATGGATGCCAGCCGCCTACGCAGTCGCCTGAAACATGTTGTTTCTTGATTATTGGAAAAGCCTTTTCTAATTAAAATGGGATATTGTCAATAATTTTAGGGTGGAGTTTTTTTTTACATTAACACGTGCGTGACTTGACCCATATCAATGGTTCCTTTTTCCACCCCGAAGACATTCTTAGTTTATTTCTTAGATTCTTCGAAATACAGGACACGCCCAGATATGTTTTTGTAATGCTCAGGACAGATTCATGCAACTGGCATCAGTGGTAAAATCTAACACAATGCCCAATCGTTGGTGTTTTTTTCTCATTTTCTTCTAAATACGCAGAATGTTCCTTGCAGCTGATTTTCGACCGAAAGTGAAGCAATTTCTATGAATAATGTTGACCACCTCTTCTTTTTGAGAAAAAAAAAATTATAAATTTACAATGGTCGAGAAATTGCACTGTTCTGGCTCAGGTTTGAAATTTTTCCTCTGCGCACACGCACGTAAACACTGAGCGCACACTCTACTATACTTGAAAAAGAAATTGTTGCCGTTCGATCTACGCAAGCAATCCAAAAGTGAAAATCTAGCATTATGTAGAGAACCTTCGATGTGCTCTACATAATTCAATGGTAATATGAAATCGAGAGCAAACAGAACTTAGACTTTTCTGGGCCCTTGAATATTCAGCGGCTGACAATTCTTATTGCAAAAGGCTGTACGCTGAAATGAAAGAGAAATAAAGCAGCTAAGATATGTGAAACTAATCAAGTGCAAAAGGTGGTCAGACGGTTATATATAACCTTCTATTTGAGTGTACACAAAATAAAAAAACACTTAATAATAAAACATATTAGACACAGAAAAAAACAGGAAAATAAAGCTTGCAAACACACTAGCTTCTGCTCAGTACGTTTTTTTTTAGCCCTCCCAACTTAAGGACAAACTGTGTGCCTCGCAAGAAAATGGTTTTTTGAAATAGATGCTACGCTCTCAGGCTTAACGCGTGAAATAACTAAGCTTTCTTGAAAACTTTTTGTGCCTGGATTTCAAATGCGAAGCATTTTCTTGCGTACTACAAGCAATTTTGGCTTCTATCAACGTATTTATTTATCAATCAATGTATCTGTATAGCCGCTCACATCTGGGTGCTCTCATGATCACCCCCTTAACTCGGGGTAAACTAGAATTCGTGTGGAATGGTCGGATGGTTTGACGAATACTTTCTTTCTGGTGATGACATGAATAATGTCGAGGTCCGTTGCGTATGTCGTGTAATGCTTTCCACCTAGCAGTAGCACAAACCGGCGGTCGAATATGTGTCATCGGCATGTGGGTATGCGCCACAGATGATTGACGCTTCATATCTACCCAGGAACGGTGAGAACACACATGTGTAATTTAGCGCATCAGCGTTAAGAAAAAAAAGCTCACATCAGTTGCGTTGACCCGACTAATGTGAGGAAAAAAAGCGTCCCAGCAGGAATCGAACCCGAGGATTCCGCATGGCATCTAAGTACTCTAACGCATAGTTGTGCCAGGTGTCGAAACTGCATTTCATATAGGCCATAATGCTCGTGACGCGGGAATTCTGGATGCCATGATAGATATAAAATGTTACAAACCTTATACTTATTTACGGCACAGCTGTTACGTCGGGTTAAGAAAAACTCTAGTGTAAATCTAATGCAATAAATGTCATGAAAAGTTTATAACAATCAAGGAACGGCGGAAACACACTCTGGTAATTTTAATTTTACAGCGATGAGAAAATTAGTACACGTAGTTAGTGACAACGAGTGAGAACAGCTATAGGTCGTAAGGTCCGTTACGTCTACGTTGAAGCCACTAACTAGTATGAAAGACAGCCAGATCGGCAGATGGACGGGCAGATTGATGTATGTACGGACGGACATACGGCATGGTAGACGGATGCATGGATGGCAGGATAGACGCATGTATGGATGAACGGAGAGATGGCTCATGGACAGATGGATGCACGCATGGATGGATGGACGCGTGGACGGATGGACGAACAAACATATGCATGGACAGACGTGCAGACCAACGGCACGGGTGATCATGCATAGTGCTGTTTTTTAGTTGATTACACATGAAGTTGGTTGTTTACACATACGTTTTCGTTTTTGTTGTGCAAGAGTTCCGTTTCAGTTAGGCTTATCTGGGAGTTATGCATGCCAACTAGGTCGGCCATGAGGAGCTCCACCCCTAAAAGCCGGCATCGGCAGCACTGACACGACAAATTCATAAAATGAATACCATGGTGCCAACAGGAATCAAACCCCAGCATTCTGCGTGACAATCAAGTATTCCACCACAGAGTGATGCCAGGTCTTGGAACTGCTTTTCAAGTAGACCGTAATGTTCGTGAAACATCAATTGCGGTGGCAGTACTGGCTATACAGTCTTATAAGCAGCACATGCGTACTGCTTTCATAGAGCCATCCCATCGAATAACGACAGTTCTAGCACAGCTCAATTCGATTTAGCTTACTTATCTAGCAGTGTCCTTGACCACCATCCTGGTTAGCAGAAACGCAACAAGTCAGCTTACCGCTTCCGGTATACCTTCAGAATACCTATGTTGCTGCTGGCATCGTTACGCAACAGTGAACATGCGACCGGTCAATATGTGTCTCTGCCTACAACATTTGTACGTATCCTGAGAGTCATTTCGTAAGGTTTCGCTCAAGAAAGATATATGGCCGTTACTTTCCCCTTGCATGCTTCGCATAACATCGAATCTGAGGATACTTGGGGATAGGCCAAATGCTTGTTTTTTTCTCATCTGTGATTACTTTAATGCAGCAGTCCCGCCTACATTTAGGTAAGTTTCAATTCTTAGTGCCCCTCCTCCATTGGTTTTGAGTGTTTTTAATTTGCTTACTTGGAAATCATGCAAATATTCTCACATTGTGGACACGAGTACGTGGCAACAACATGGTCTTACAATAAAGGAAGCGCTAGTTGTAATTCGTTTTCTCTTATTAGCAGTCACAATTAATCTTATCGTGTAGTAATTGGTCCTGCAATTTAGAAGTAATGAAGAGATTTGTTCGATTAGGAATTTTTTTAAAATTAAAAAAATTGTGATCATACAGTTATGTTTGCATATGGGCTCATAGGGATGTCATTGGAAAAAGTGGTACTACCAAAAAATCACTCTTTTAAAGCCATGATTTAACTCAATGAAATCAGAAACAACTATACCTTTAAAACTGTAAAGAAATATGATGCTGGATTGCTTTTTTTCCTGACAAATGAAAGTGAGATATGCTGATGATACTTTCAATCTTTTACAATGTATAAAAAGATAGCATCATACTACGAACTTTATTGTGGTAGCATTATATGGTCGCTACAGACAGTTTTGCTGCCACCATCGTTGTAGCCACTAGTGTGACTTTCCAAAATAAAGCCAATGAAGTTATTATTACTTTTATATTTGCAACCGAAACCCCGACATGATAATATAAGAAGGTTGCAGTACAGGGCTTTGAAAATTTGTTTGATTGATTGATTGAT